TTTTTTTTTTCTTATTTTCGTGCTTTCCTTTTTGTTTCTTTTGTAAACCAGCAACACAAATTTAGAAAAGCAACACAGAGTTGTAATCAAGAAAGACAAGAACGACACTATTTTTTTTTTTTTGGTTTTTGATTAAAAAAAACTGAAAATTAAAGATATGCAAACTTGATTTAGAACTTGATGCTTTGATACAAAGGTGATGAGAACCCCAAAGAGAACAATGTGACCCACAGCATGACAAGGGATTTCTAAACTCCAGGAAAGCCAAAATCAGGTTTATAATAGGACCTTGACCCATTGTTTATGTCGTAACAAGAACCAAAGGTAAAAACCTTGACCCGTTGTCTATGACGCAACAAGAACCAGAGGTATAAAGTTGGTTGACGCCACACTCGCGAACAATTAAAAATGAGAATGATAAGTTAGGTTAGAATGCTGCAAGAATAATTTTGATAAATTCTGTAAAGTTCTGAAACGAACCAAAGAGAAAAATCTCTTAGAAACTTAGATTCAATAGGTACCCCAAATTAGGGTTACAAGTCCTTTAAATAGGGAAAAATAATTCTAATTAGAATAGGAAACTAACACCCTAAGCCCTAAGCCCTAATCTCAATAACCATGAATTAGGCCTCAAATAAATGAATGTTCAGCCCAAAATAATATAAAAAGCATGAAAATCACTTAAAGTAACCTAAAGTAACATGAAATATCAATTTGTTACAAATTGCGACAGAATTGCAGGATTTTGACGCAAACTATGTAATTTAGCATAAATGACCTCAATTAAGCTTCTCTTGAACCTGAATGATATTTACCATGCCTTAATAATCATCCAAGCTTCGATTTACTTGTTGCATGTTGTTATCAACCCAGATTTGCTCAATAAGGCCATTTAAAGCTTTTTGCATCTTCCTAGCTTTAGCTCTTGTGACTAGACCTCCTAGAATGTGTAATGGATCTCTTGACGTGGTACATGTGGGGTCATCTTGATTCCCATCATAGATTCATCTACCTCTCCATTTTATTTACACCATTTAGACAGTCCTAAAATAGTGCTAGTCATGCAACCATTAATAGGTGATAATTATCCTACATGGAACCGAGCAATGACCAGGTCACTTGAAGTGAAGAACAAGCTAGGATTTGTTGATGGAACAATCAACGAACCAGCATCAAATTTTGCCATGTTTACAGTTTGGAATAGATGCAAATTATGGTACTCTCATGCATTTTGAACGCACCTTCAAAAGACATAGCAAATAGTGTTGTGTTTATGAAGACTGCTCGTGATGTCTAGATCGATTTTCTCAGTTCAATGCACCGCAGATGTTTGAGATTTAGAGAGCAATTGTGAATCACTTGCAAAGGAATGATTTAGTCACAAAATATCATACAGTTTGAAAAGGATTATAGGATAAACTAGCAATTTATAATCCACATCCAACTTGTACATGTGAGGTAGCAACAGAGATCAATGCTTTAGATGAATGAAATCGATTGATGTAATTTCTCATGGGGCTCAATGAATCTTATAGTAACTTGAGGAGTCAGATCCTTTTGTTAACCCATTGCCTACTGTTTCAAAGGCTTTATCTTTGGTTCTTCAGGATGAGAGGTAGAGATCTATTTAGTATGTTTCTTCACTGCCATATCCAGAATAGTCATCCATGGCAGTTGTCAACACGCAAAAGTTTGCTCGTTTTAATCAACATTTCAGCATTGGAAATGGAAGACATTTCTATCATTGTGACTTTTGTGGCCTAGACGGACACACAGAGACACAATGTCGGAAGAAACAGGGGAATCAAAGTTTCCATACTTCTCATTACAAGTGAGAATTCAAAGAGCCTCATACTCGACAAAAGTTTAGCAACTTGAGACATAATTAGAATTCTCCAAAAGGTGCCTCAAATTGCCATGTGGTAGCAACAATTGACCAAGATGCATGAAGCTAAAACCAGAACCAGCCTTTCACTCAGGATCAAGTTAAGTAGCTTCTTGCACTCATTCAACCAAGTACTCTCAACACCTCTAACCATCTAGTCAACATGGTAGGTAATGATACTAGTTTTTCTCATAAAAATTGGGTTGTTGACTTAGGTTGTACTACTCATGTCACAAGTAGTTTTTCCTGTTTACAAAATACACAGACATATAAAGGTTTACCTATTAAATTACCCAATGGAGAGTATTCACTAGCCACCCATTCTAGATATGTGCAGTTCAATTCTTCTTTACATCTAGAAAATGTTCTTCATGTGCCTACTTTTAAGTTTAATCTCCTCTCTGTTAGTCAAATTACTAAGTCACTTAATTGTTCAGTTTTTTTTCTACCTACTGTTTGTGTATTCCAAGACCTAGTGACGAGGAAAGTGATTGGTTTAGCAAAGGAGCATGATGGACTTTATGTAATCTCCCTTGCTGCAACCTCCTCACCATTGGATCTTTGGCATTACAGCCTTGGACATCTTAGTCATAGTATTGCACCTCATTTTTCTCATCTATATCAAAGTATTTCTTTTTCTAATAAATGTCTTTGTATAGTTTGCCCTTTGGCCAAACATACTCGTTTATCTTTTCCCACTAGTTCCATTTCAACGAGTGCTTGTTTTGATTTAATTCACTTAGATATTTGGGGACCATATTCAATTCCATCACTTACTAGAGCTCATTGTTTCCTCACTATTGTGGATGACTTTTCTAGGAATACTTGGGTCTTCTTAATGTAGCCTAAGTTCCAGACATTTTCTATACTTCGAAATTTCTTTTCCATGGTGCAAACACAGTTTAACTCTATTATACACTGTGTTCGTAGTGACAATGGCACAAAATTTCTTAATCATGCAGTTATTGATTTTTTTACCTCACTTGGGGTTATTCATGAGCATAGCTATGTTGATACACCTCAACAAAATGGTGTTGTCGAGCATAAGCATAAACATCTGTTAAATGTTGCTCGAGCTCTTCAATTTCAATCCAAACTTCCCATTAAATTCTAGGGAGAGTGTGTTCTTGCTGCAGCCTAACTTATTAATTGCACTCCATCCAAGGTATTTAATGGAAAAACTCCTTTCGAAGTGTTATTCTGCAAAGTTCCTTCTTATTCTCATTTGCATGTGTTTGGATGTCTTTGTTTTGCACGAAACACCCACATTAAACACAAGTTTGATGCTCATGCTCATGCTAGTATTTTCATTGGGTATCCTTTTGGTCAAAAAGGTTATAAAATATTTGATGCTTCCACTCAACAAGTCTATGTGAGTAGAGATGTTGTCTTCCATGAAAGTGTGTTTCCATCCATCTTTTTGACTAAGGATGATAGGTCTCTACCTATTCCAATCCATGATCCAAATCTCATTAATTCAAATTTGTCTCCAAATAACACCCATGAATCGACAGTTTCCCCATCTATCCCTTCACCAACACAAACACAAACACAAGAAGTCAGTGACAATGCCTTTCTTGACCATTCTGACCTAAGTGCTAGCTCCAATGCACTAAAGAACCATGTTCCTTTTTTAAGACGTTCTCAACGTCACATTCAACCACCATCCAAATATAAGGACTATCATTGCTTCAACGCTTAAGATCAAGTAGCTTTTATGTCTCCAAGTATGAAATTTCCTCTTGACAAATGTCTTTCTTATTCTAGGTTCACTTCTAAACATTGTGTTTTTCTTAGTTCTTTATCTTCTATTGTTGAACCCACTACTTTTAATCAAGCTATAAAGTTTCCTAAATGGCAACAGGTTATGCAAGTTGAGCTTATTGCTTTGGAAGACACTAACACCTGGTCTTTAGTCACTTTGCCACTAGATAAAAGGCCTACTAGATGCAAATGGGTATTCAAAATTAAAAGAAAGTCTAATGGTAGTATAGAAAGATACAAAGCTCGTCTTGTTGCCAAGGGCTTTACTCAAGTGGAAGGTGTTGATTACCATGATACATTTGCACTGGTTGCTAAACTAGTGACAGTGCATGTTCTTTTAGCCATTGTAGCTGTGAAACAATGGCCTTTACATCAATTAGATGTCCAAAATGCATTCTTACATGGTGATTTATATGAAGAAGTTTACATGACTTTACCTCCGAGGCATCCTCGAAAAGGGGAGAAAGATCTCGTTTGCTAACCACATAAGTCTCTTTATGGCTTGAAATAGGCATCCCGCATGTGTTTTGCTAAATTTTCTACAACTTTACTTGACATGGGGTTTCAACAATCATATGCAGATCACTCATTGTTTTTTTTTTTTTTTTGAGCTAGGGTTTTGCTTTTGTTTATGTTTTGGTGTATGTTGATGATATGATCATCACAAGGAACAGTCCTTTTTTTATCACTGCAGTGAAGCAGTTCTTATTCAATAAGTTAAGCTCAAGGACTTGGGTCATCTCAAATACTTCCTTGGCATTGAAGTTGCCCATTCTTTCCAAGGTATTTATTTATGCCAACGAAAGTACACTCTTGATCTGCTTATTGATGCTAGTTTTCTAGGCACTCGACCTACTGAGACTCCCATGGAATAGAATTTGAAACCTACCCCCATTGATGGTTCCTTATTAGAGGATCCTTCCATGTACCGGAGATTAGTTGGCTGGCTTATATATCTCACCATTACCCGACTGGACATTTGTTTTATTGTCAATATATTAAGTCAGTTTATGCAATCTCCTCAGCAACCTCATCTTGATGCTGCTCATTGCTTGCTTCGTTACTTGAAGAAAACTCCTGGGCAAGGCATTCTTCTTTCTTCTTGAAGTTCTCCTCCATTAAGAGCATTTTGTGACTCTAACTGGGCTAGTTGTGTAACAACTCAGCGTTCCACCACAGGTTATTTCATTCTTCTTGGTGATAGTCCAGTTTCATGGAAAAGCAAAAAGCAAGGTACTGTGTTTCATTCCTCAATAGAGGCAGAGTATCAGGCTATGGCCACAACCACCAAGGAGTTAGTTTGGTTGCGTGGCTTACTCTCCAATTTTGGCATCCATCTCTTTTGTCCTGCGCCCCTCTATTGTGATAATCAAGCTGCTCGGCATATTGCAACAAATCCTGTGTTGCATGAGCTAACAAAGCATCTTGAAATTGACTGTCATATTGTTTGTGAGAAATTATTGGCTGGTGTTCTATGTCCATTGCCAATTTCCTCTTCCCATCAACCTATTGATATTTTAACCAAGGCATTGAGTAAAGATAGTTTTCATTTTCTTCATGGCAAGCTGGGCATTCATGATCTTCATGCTCTAGCTTGAGGGGAAGTAGTATCAGTAATATCAACTATACCATATAGCTATACTAGATACTAGTTACCAGATTTTAGTTATACCAAAAAACAAATATATTCCAGATATCGAGGAGCTCAATTCTTCAAATATTTCTATTACCATTATTTTAGGCTTTAGTTCAACTAAGTTTAGTATTTTACTTGTATATAAACTTGTAATTGTATAGATTGTTTAAGTAATACAAAAATAAATCTTCCATATTTTATCAAGGCATAGCCATGCCGACTAAGAAGAATGCAGCAAAAGGTGTCTAGCTACCCCAAACTAGGCACCATGATGAAAGTCTAATGCACTCGGAGGGTGAAAATGAACCTGTGAATCTACCTCCAATTTCTACCTTTGCAAAAACAGTATATTGGCAACCATGGTTTTTGTAAAGAGATTGCTTTGGAGGACTTTGCCGAATCTAGCAATGATGCTTTCAGAAATATGAGTCAGCAATTGGAGATAATGCAAAAAGAGAAAAGTGAAAACTTTAGGAGAATCGATGAAGAATCTGACAACTAGGAGGATCATTATCCTGGCTGTAACAGTTCTCTAGCATACCTTAGATATCGCCATTGCTCTTTCTTTCTGCTTCATCTTCTTGACTAACGGCTAATGCTAATGATGTTTCTTCATCAAATTCTTCCTACCAGGATTCTACGACGTTCTAATGCAAAAAATGAAAATCTGTCAAATACATGTTTGTATTGATTAAACCAAATTTTTTTTTAAAATTAGATGGGGTCTCAAGACAACAGACATTTTTACTGATAAAATAAAACAGAGGGGATTAAACGGAGTCGTATGGGATTCGAATTGTTTAGTTGAAAGTCCACGAAAGACCGTTAATTGAGGTACATAGTCCCCCTAAGAATCCCTCACAAACGTTCCCATTTATATAGCTAAAAGCAATCCACCATACAATCAAAATTTCAACCCCAAAATCGAACACAACAAACTGCCTCCTCCTCAGAACACGACCAGAGAGAAAGGTCATGATCTGGGTCTGCTCTGCATCACCAAGGTCATGATCTTCCATCTCATCCTCAAAAGATTCCACCTGGATTAGCATTTCATACATTTCCCTTTCTGGGTCATGGCGGTGAAACGATCCTTCAAACGTTTTGTAGGGCAAGAACTGGGTCGCTTCTCTCACTTCTTGATTTATGCTGTGCTTGAATGGATGTTGATCCTCCTTCTCTTCATCAATGGCTTTCTTGCATTTTTTGCCAACCAATTCGCTAACTTCTTCGAATTGCAGATGCCATGCTTGTTCTGCACAAGAATCGATCATGTTTTGACTCATAAAGGCCCAGATTTCTACTACAACGATTCCATTTGTGACGCCCATAAGAAGGACGTTTCGTCACTCGCCTTCTGCCATGTTCACAAAAAGCTTTCCGATATACGGAGAATGTGTGAGGGCTGTCTTCTGTCCTTTGCAACGACAAAGGAATCCGATTGCGATACGTACAAGTCTCTGGTTGGGATTTTGCACAAGGACATTGAGTTGTTCGTCGATGTTGATCAAGAACTTCATCTCTCCCTTCCTGTAGGGAAGAAGGACGATCCAGAGATTGTAGAGAAGAGCAGCCAACACCGGTGTTCTTGTTGCGGGGAGCCATTGAAGGTGAAATCGTCTAATGTGAAAGGGAAAAATTCTGTGCTGTTGTCAACGGCTACGGCTCCGGTTCCGGCTCCTTCTCCCCGTGCAACGTTCTTGTCTTCTACGAATGAAGACCGCCGGTTCGACTTGAGCCATGCCAAATACACGGAGCTCAAGCTAGCCCCTGATGAGTCAGATCGTCCTGAAGATGATGATAGTTCCAGCACAGTAAGCCTTGAGAAGCAGTGTGAGTTTAAAGGACCATTTCGTATCCCTCTTCTTTCCATTGATTTTGATTTTATTCATTAAGATTGCAATATTTTTTTTGGGGTCTTTATTGATTCTTAATATTTCATGATATTATGTTTGGCTTTGAATTGGGTATGGAGAACACATTTCACGCATGCTTCATGTTTGTCAAATTCTTCCACCAAAAAGTTTCACCATGCCGGTTATATTTCCTAAAGACATTCATCTTAGTTTTGCTAAATTTGGTGGTCCGTTTTTGTTTCTCCAGTTAAGGAAGATAGCAAAGCTGTTACTACAGTGCGATTGCTGATGGAAGGAGATGATGAAGATAAGACCCCCAATTTTGGTAGGAGTAACAAGTTTTTTGGAATCCCACTTTCAGATTCAACAGCAGCGAGTCCTAGATGGCAAGGCAGACCTTTAGCTTTTAGGAAATCGTTGCTGGACAGGATAGATTCTGTATCAGAGGGTGCAGAGGGAAATGTCTCAAATGAGACGGATGGGGATTCTATACTGCATCATTTGAAGAGACAAGTTCGACTGGATGGCAAGTCACTGATGGCTTTGTACATGGAACTGGACGAAGAAAGAAGTGCATCTGCTATTGCGGCTAACAATGCAATGGCCATGATCACCAGGTTACAAGCAGAGAAGGCAGCTGTTCAGACGGAGGCCTTGCAGTACCAAAGAATGATGGAGGAGCAGGCAGAGTATGACCAAGAAGCCCTACAAGAAATGAATATTTTACTCAACAAGAGGGAGGGAGAAATTAAAGAATTAGCGGTTGAACTAGAGGCTTACATATTAAAATATGGTTGCTTAGGGGAAGATGACCTTGAATTACCAGGAGAAGAAGAAACCGATCAAGGTTACCAAGTTTTCAAACCCCCTTCCTACTCATCCTCCAATGGAAGATCTGAATGCAGCAGCCCTGTTCATTGTCTCAACGGAGTGTCCAATAATGAGGAGAAACCACAGAACAATAAGCAATCGAGTTCTGTGCAGGATGAGATCAGAGGGGAGGCAATTGACGAATTACAGAAATCCTCTCAAGCAGAAAAGCCCCGTTACTTGGGTCGATTGAGAAATCTAGACAAGAACAATCAAGTTTCATCAGACGTTGGGGTTGACTCCTCAGATTCTAGTTGTGAAGATTTTAATGACAGAGGAAGAGATACAGACTTACAATCCTACTAAGTTTTCAAAATAAAGGCCAGGCCCTAGGGGGACTTTGATTGAGAGTTCAGTCCAGTCTGACAGTGACTAATGTAATCAAACACTGTAATTTTTTATTCTATCTTTTTTAGTCCTTCCTCTACCGCTCTTTTTCAAAGGAGAATAGTATAAATTTGATTATAATACACTATACTACAATCAAAATTGAAGGAAAAAGAAAAAAAAAAAGAAAAAAAAAAAAAGAAGCTACCAAGAAATGTTGTAATATGAAATTGGTATAAAAAATGTGTTTTCCAATTTGAATAGTTTCTCATCTCAAGTAAATTCATTTAAGAGTTTTGGGTCACACGGATATTTTTCATTAGAAAGTTGAAAAGTAAAAATTTCACATCTACATAAAAATATAATCAACTTTGCTTTATCCACCTAAATTCTCTACAACTAAAGGCTACCTAAATTATATCATTCATATATAGAAGTTAATGCATATCAATTTTGATTTAGAAAAAAAAAATTAGAGTCCTAATTTATATTTAGAAATTGAAATCATAATTCAAAATTTAAAAATCTAATCAATTTTCAAATCTAAATATTAATATTTAGAAAAAAAAAAATTAGAGTCCTAATTTATATTTAGAAATTGAAATCATAATTCAAAATTTAAAAATCTAATCAATTTTCAAATTTAAATATCAATATTTAATAAAATAAAATTTTAAATTTTAAATTGATTTTTAATTCAATAAAACAATATATTTAAGATTAAAACTCTAATTTTGTAAAAGATCAAAACTGATATGTATTTTTCTCTTTTATATATTATTTAATGATTATCTCTATTTAATTTATGGAGACCTATAATATTAGTATATATTTACTCATTACATATTTATTTTTGAGAGGGAAATAAAAGAATCCATTCCTTTCATTTAAATAAATGAAAACAAGAAACAAAAAGAGTTTGTCTAATGGACACTGATTGGTGCACACTCGGATCCCACACCCAGGTGTGCACCCCCCACATAAAAAAAAAAAAAATTGGACTAGGT